ACGCTGGTAACCTCGTGTGTCAGGTATAAATCCAGCTTTATTGGCTCACACACAAGCTGTTTGCGCTCATCCTGTAAGCACTACACAACGGCTGTTTGCTAATATGCTACCAAGAACAATTTAATAAGCTCATATCAAGGTTCGCTGCTTTGAGTTTGCTTTGTTCTGCCCCCCAGCAGCCAAATACTGCTTAATGCAGGTTTAACGCAAACAAATCACCGCCAGCGACTCCATCATCGTCTCCATCATCCCTCAAGTTTTAATATTGACAACAGTACAGTCCATTAGCTTTCAGTGTCCTTGACTGTTGTTCCTCCCTAATGACGCCTTACATCACAAGTAGAGTTAGACGAAGGCTTGATAACTCATCCTGAAACGCGACCCGAGGTAAATCTAACAGATCCCTTCTTCTTTCCAGCTTATAAAAACACCCTTCAACAAAAGATTCCTGCAGCCAAAAGTATCAGCGCAATTCAACGGGAACACGTCAATCAACTAACCGTATTACATTAAATAACAGCAAGTGGGAAAATCAATTTAGCTTTATTGTAGTTTGGGCAGTTATTTAATTTGTTATCAAATTGTTATTTTCTTCTCTGTCCTTCATTGACTGATGCTGGCATTTCATTGTTTGTTAGTGAAAGCAGTAGATAATTGAATGTCAATAAAAAATGTACCAACGTAGGAATGAAGATATTCTGTTGATTCCTACTGAATGGATTTGACAACACAGGCAAACGTGGCAAAGTGTTTTCCAACGCCATTATTCAAAACATTAAGTCTGTTTTGTGTACGTACAATAGCGTCTGGAGCTACTAATGATGTTTGAGATGTGTTTTTCCTCTCTGCGGTCGTTCCTACTGCGTGCAGCATCGCCAACTTTGCCATTGCTCATCTTTTTCCTTTAACTCAAACTCATCAACATTCGAAACGTCACAGACTTGTGCAAAGCTTTTATCAGCCGATCCTTTGTGTATCTAGCTAGACTATTAGATATGGAGAAAACAAATGAAGAGTTCATTTGCAAAAACAGATAACTCCGTCTTCACAAGCCTTCAGAAAAGCCACTTTTCCATCGTCTACCTGAGACAATATCAAACTTAGTCATCTCTATTTTTGTCATTTCTACTGAGTCAAATCCACTCGACTTCAGTTTGATTGATATGATCTCAAGCAAACAACAACAAAAACAAGTTTTCTGAAAATCTACAAAAATGGAGTTATCGGTTTTTGCAAATGAACTTTTCAAATGGATTCACCTGTTTTGTTATTTGGCTTTAACTACCAAAAACACTCTTACTCTGTTGGATGGAGCAGCATCTCCCTGGCTTACAAACTTCAGGCAAAGTCAGTTTTTGAATTTTTTTTGGTAGTTTTCATCAGAAAGTAATCCTGTGTTGGTTGCTTTGAACTCTAACCTATCACATGAATTAAGGCTTCAAAAGTAAACAGTACAAACAGTATTTTCAATGGACCTCGCACCTTCATACCAATGAATGAAGGACAGTGTGTGGGTGGATGTGTGTGTGGGTGGATGTGTCCCTTGCTTTTCTCATTGATCTTCTGATCTGATTGACTTCACACTCGGACACAAGGAGGTGCCGTGTCAAGTGCAAAGTGGTCAAGCACTCCTTGGGAAACATAGAAAGAGAATCGTTTCAAAAATAGTTGGGCACCTCACTGGGCCTGTGGCAACAGACTGATTACAACAACAGTATGTCACAGAGGTGGCTGTGCTCAGTCAGACTGTGGGTTTAGAGCAGGGGTGTCCAATCCTGGTCCTCGAGGGCCACAGTCCTGCATGTTTTAGATGTTTCCTTCTTCCAACACACCTGATTCGAATGATCAGGATCGTTTTAGGCTTCTGCAGAGCTTGATGATGAGCTGATCATTTGAATCAGGTGTGGTGGAAGAGGGAAACATCTAAAACATGCAGGACTGTGGCCCTCGAGGACCAGGATCAGACACCCCTGCTTCAGAGTAATGTTACATTCAGTGGCAACTGCAAACTTCTGCATTTTACGTCACTCAACACCCAACATCGCAGCATCATAGTCAATTGTAAGCATGGCTTCTCTATTTTTTTAAATTTTTTTCTGGGTGTGGTTTGTGCCTTTATTCAGAGCAGCAGAGATAGACAGGAAAGGGCGGAGAAGAGTGGGGCAAAGGGTCGTGAGTGGGAGTCGAACTCACGACCTCTGCGTCGGGGAACTATAGGCCCTGTTTATGGGACACCGTCTTGTCCAGTTGAGCTACTGGAGCGCCCAGTTTCTCTCTGTTTAATGGGTTCAGTGTCTAAATGTCTAAACAAAAGCCTCTTCTGTTAAGTGAACTACACGTCTGTTGATGAGTACAGAAGTCGATAATGATGTAATTTAAAGGCCTACCTTCCCATTATTAAGGTACACTGAATGCAGCACAAGCAGCAGCTAAAAAAAACCTGCACATTGTGTATCTAAACTGTGGGAGCTTAAGACAGAGACCACAAAAACCAGTGCTGTGTAAGCATTGTACAAGCACTTGAAGCATCCCAGAGTGCTTTGTGAAGACTGCAGTGATGGACCATCCTGTTTACTTTGTCCCTCCACCCAAGCATGACGTAGCCAATTAGGTTTATCAGCATGGTAAACATGTTCTGCTCGTGTTAGTCACTTCCTATTACTACACTATTCTCTAAATTGTAGTTAATCGCCCCCATGTGCCTGGTAATTTCTTCATCGTTTCGGCTGGAGCCTACCACAACGTTGCATCACGCGCCATCTTACGTTCTTCTGCCACTGAGTTGCAACCCCGCAGGCCAAGCAATTAGCTCGTGCGAAAAAGGCCCGTTTTGAACGAGCGCTGCACTAGTGTCTTTAATAATCCTGAATCCCTGCAGAGTCAAAGGAGGGAGACCTCAGGTATGGAAGACAGTACCCGTCGAAGTCTTATTAAGAGCTGATCCGTCTTTTATTAAGGGCTTTATTGTGAGATTTCCCTCTGGCACAGCAGTGCAAACTGACTGATATGCTCCACTGCAGAGGACCTGAAGACCCCTTGCGGATCTGGCTCCAATTAGAGGATGTTGGAGACTGTGACACCTCTGGCAGATTGTGAGGTTCCTTACGCTGAGTGAAAGCTGAGGAAGATGTGGAGTCAGAAGTTCACCGATGTGCAAACAGGTGTGACATGTTGTCGCTCATGTGACAACTCGATTTCTTCTTTCATATTATATGTGAGATATATGTGTGTGTGTGTGTGTAAAAAATAACGACAAGATAAAGAAAAAATCAATCCATTTGTTTTTGCGCTTGCAGTTTGCTACTGACAGTTATTTTGACTATTCAACATTCTGACCCAACAAAAACTGACTCAATGAAACCTTTGATTTGCAACATTAGAAAATGGTGAAAATGGTACAAGCTACGAATTTGAATTTGAGTTATTTTTATGCTTGTAAATGCCTCAGATAATTATGAAATATCAAAACATTTGCATGCACTAAGCCTACAAAGCCAAAAGCGGCAAAACAAGCTTATCTTTAAAGCTCAGCACAAAGGGCACGACACAAACAATTAATAATTTAGAGAAAATATAAATTAAATTAGCTGCACGTAGGAAACAATACGAGTCGAACCCCCTTGGTGTCTACCCAACTGTAGCCCTGTTGCTGTTCTCTGAATGAGAGCATCACTTTATGTCATGTCGAATCTGTAATTATTGAAAAATACGTCCCACAGCATTGCCTACAGGTTCAAAGTAAAAGTGAGGAGTGCTTCACTCACTTCTGTAATTTAAGGTGAGTTGGCTGCCAGTTCTGGTTTAAAAGGAATCCTGCATTTGTCATTCGTCTGGACTGAAGGTGCAGTCTGATAACATTTAACGAGTTGGTTCGTTAGCACCAACATTTCCCTGTTCCTGAGCACAAGGATCGGTCAGAGCCCTTTTGTTGGTTTCCTAGTTACAGATTACACATCCATTTTACACATCAAATGGACAGCTAGCAAACTGTGAGGAGACGTTCAACGCTGCTGGATTAGAATCACTGAGTTTACCTGAGTTGATTCCCTTTTCAAGCCTAGTTATGTTTGTTACCATATATTAAGTACAGTGTATTACTTTACTTACTTATCCCCATCTTCCCTAGTGGGAAATAGGGCCGTGACACGGTGGCGCCATTCTTTTTGGTTGTTCGCTAACTTCAACGCCTCACCCCAAGTCAGTCCCATCTCTAGCAGCTCTGCCTCGACTGTTCTTTGCCAGGTGGTTTTAGGCCGTCCAGGCTTCCCAACAGGGGTCCACCAAATTGATGTTTTCGAGATTCGTTCCTGCGCCATCCTAAGAACATGACCGAGCCACTTAGGACGCTGACGTTTAATTTCTTGAATGATGTTGTTGGAGCCCGTTTCACAGTACAGGTCTTCGTTTGATATTTTCTGAGGCCGACAGATACAACAAATCTTTCGTAGACACCCGTTGTGGAAAGCACTGATCTTATCCATGTCTGCCTTTACAACACGCCAGCTTTCTGATCCATAGAGGAGGACTGATTTTACGTTACTGTTGTATAGTTGTAGCTGTAGTACAGTGTATAGTGTAGGTTAATTAAAACCCCATCAAACTGTTACTCATCATTATCATAGATAATGAGGAGCTTAAGGGAAGCAGGAGATTTTTTTCAAGTCCTGAATATGCTAAAGAACTCTTGAAAGTTTATTGAAGAACACTGTAGTTGTCCATCCTTGCCAAACTGAGAAACCGTCCATCCCATGTCTGTGTATTATAATCAATTTCGCATTCTGCTTGTTTGCCTTTTTCAGCACCAAATCCTTATTCGTAAATCTCTAGTTTAAGGCATTTACATCCCATTATCATGATGAAAATACCCCCCATTTTAGTTCTCGTCCATCTTAGTTGTGTTTTGTGCATGAAACTTTCCAGGAAAAGGTCAACAGGTCTTTTAAAAAATAATGGATGACCTTTCTGGCCCTTTGAGCCTCCAGCAAAACGCTGACACTCACCAAACATGTTGCCAATATGCCCATTTCTCGTCAAAGGCCGCAGCTCATTCTTGCCCCAGGCGTAGCGCTTGTAGTTGTCCCAGGCAAACTTCATCATCTGCAGAATAAACAAGAGGGCAGACACAATACCAGTCAGTGGACTGACAGCAGCAGAGCAACACGTCTCCAAACCCGAGCGTAATTAAATCGGTATCGCTCAAGGCAAAGGGAATGATAGATATTGATCATGACTGGATTAAGGACAAGCATGCAATTATAACACATAAACAACAGTGCTAAACAATACCACTGACATTTCCCCTGCAGCTCCTCCTCCTCCAAATTAAAGATTGACTGATGTCAGTAGATGAAAGTGCAAGTAAACTTTCTCTGGTGTGGAAAAAAACAGAGTAAGATAGATGAAAAAAAGATGAAAAGCATCTCTGCTTGTAGTGACACACAGTTTTAATGAGCTTCAAACCAAGTAAGGTGAACTTGGTTTCATTTAATCCCATATATTCATTTATTAATTCTTATTTTTGTTTAGCTGTAAACTTAATCCTACAGTGACCAGACCTTCAAGAGACAACTTTAGCTCTATCTGTTGGAAGGAAGCAAATTTTTGTCAGCTAAAAGTCAAAATAGGGATGTTCCTAAAGACTCATTTTGTTCTTGATTAAACGAAAACTGTCAAAAAATTAGCTCAATTTCCCAATCAGGTCAAACACTGGCCATATAAATATGTGTGTAGCGATTCAAGAACCATTTGAAACTGGTCATAACGTTTCTCAATAACCATTTTATACCATTTTACAGCATATTAGCTTTATTTTTCTGGTATTAAAGAGAAAAAAAGTTAAAAGACATTTAAATTTACCCCCAATAGGATTATAAATGTATGTAAGAAATCCTTTAGCGATGTAGCGACGCTCCACTAAAACACAAAAGATTTTACCAAGAGGAAAATTTAGGGAAACAAGTTCGACAAACGTACTAAAATCTCTCAGCAGTCGATCCTTTAGTTTCTAGTGCCGTTTCTGCCTAAAGTAGTTTTGCACTGATTAAGCACCACTAGAGTCGCGCTGCTGCTGCTGCTGCTGTGATTAAAAGTAAGTGAAGTATTTGTGTGAAATTCTATAATTTCAGTCGCTATGCATAAATTTACATACAGTCTTTATGTCGGGGAACTATAATGTCATACATCGTAGTTCTGCACTGACGTTTCTCATTTAGAGCAGAGCAGCAGCGTTCCTGCGTGATTCACAGAGAGGATGTTTTCCTCCAACACTAATCAAACAGATGCATGTACTGCGCAACGCAAAATGCTCGAAAATAAATTGAAAACTAATTCCAGCTCAAAGTATACTCGAATCAAGAGCTACCAGCAATGACACGTTCATTACATCCGATTGTTCGGGACAATACGACAAAAATGAAGAAAGTGCCTCTGTGCGATCCGTCATGCGATGGGCCTCGATTTCATTTTCCCCCCTGAGTTTGGAACACGATGTCATCTTTATTATCAATATGACATGAGGCTCTTTGCTCTCCAGAGGTGGGCTCATATAAGCCTGTGGGAAATAGTCAACATGAATCCGATTACCTCTGACAAGGCCTCGAGCTGAAAATCCTCTCACCCCAAAAAAAAGCTCATTACAGACACCTCAAAGGATACGAAGCCATTTCACACGCCAAAAGCAACCACACAAATGGCAAACGTCCGTAATGTTCAGAAAACCTCGTGACTACAGGTCAGGGGAGCTTACATTTGATTACAGCTTCATTGTGAGCTCTTTCACTGGCAGTTTAATTTGTGACGCTCCATCGTTATTTACCGAAAACCGTTCGCAGACCAGGACAGAAAACACAGTCAGCATCAGTTGTTTTCCTGTTGTTGTTTTTTCTTTTTTCCAGATTGGCATGAAGTCTGACGACGCAGCATTTTTAAACACTTTTTTTTTTTCACATTTACACAAATAAATTCTGACACTGAGTGCAGCAGCAATCTCACCGAATGTGGAAAAACAAGCACACAATATGATTAAGGGAAACGGAAGCGATGAATCTCACGGTGGAAACACGCTCACAAAGGTAATCAGTTTCTTCAGAAAGTGTAGAAAGAACAAAAATAGCCAGAGCCCGACTCGCCGTGTCCCGAAAGAACGGTCTGCTTCACAGAATGAAAACCAGAAAATGTCTCAAGTTTTATTTGAAACTTATTCCATCTTTTATAATGCCGGCCTGTCTCTCTCTCTCCTCCAGTGGCTTTAACAGCCAAAGAACAAAAGTAATAGGAAAAAATGTTTGCACAAATCGTTGGATTTGGTAAATGTTAGAACTCCATGTCCCTCTCTGTTTCTTTTGAAAAATGCAAACTGTACGTCTTGGTGCAAAAAAAAAAAAAAAATCAAATGAACCTGCAAGGGAAGCAGGACTTTACGACCGTCATCAAATATATGTTGGGGAAAGTAGAAAACAGGCAGATGGTTTGCTGAAGCTGCATTACTGCAGGCACAGAAAATGTAAAATGGCAGCATTAATCAGCAACGCCTTGACTTTAAAAGATGCTAAAATAGAGGATTTAATGCACGTGGCGCTGCAAACCGATGTCATTTTTTTTTCAATCTATAAAATGCCAGAAAATGAATAAATCTGTCACTGCAGTCCGGCGCCCACAGCGACATCAACAGATAGCTTGTTCAATCCAGCTGACAAACGGGAAAAAAAAGGCAGAGCATCCCTAAATCTGACAAATAAAGCCAAATGAGGCATTTGTAATTTGATCATTGATTTCTTTAATTGCATCAGAATTCCCCTCAATCAGTCAACTGTCAGAGAAAAACTGCCATGACTCCTACAAAACAAAAGAAACGCTTTGCTGGGTTGTTGGTAAATTTATTCTCTATTGCAACGGGGAGGAAAAAAGGCAGAATCTGTCCAGGATCTCGCTCCCTCAAAGAGAAAAACAAGAGTGACAGCTTATTTAGAACATGACAGGGAACACAGAACTTCTTCTTCCAAAAAAAATGTTAAACTGACAGATCATTTCAGCACTAGTCTCGCTTTGCCAGCCCATTGTATATCACATAATGGTCTGGCTGCACCACACTATCATTCTGCTCTACAGGGAAGGAAAAAAGAGACGCTCTGGCTTGTTTGAATGTCTTAAAACTAATCACAGTCCTCGTGGGCCGGGCGAAGCAAAGGATGCGGCTTTGGTGTTCCCTCGAAAACAGTGATGGGTGGAATTGTTGTGATGGAACAGTTGCACACAGAGAGGGCAGCACTATGATTAAAATGGATAATTCACCCAAAATAAAAACTAGCATTGTGCCTCACTGTGCAATCCAAATCCTTGACTAACTTTACATTTTTAGCGTCGTACGTTGCTCGCCTGGAACTTGCTTTTCCGCTTAAAAAAGCAACATGCAGACCGCAGAAGGACAAAACCGATGGGTCGGACTATTTCAGCAAATAAGAAAACATGATTTCTAATTCTAAATCTACAATCCTACAGTTTCATTTAGCAAAGCGACGCGGACACAACACAAGCAAGGATCTAGCCAGGAGGAAACAATCTAGATAAGTGCCGTAGAACAAATTCAAGTGCGGTAGGGCGTTGATGCCAACAGCAGGCTGTGTGGGAGGTAAAAGGATTTTTGTTTGTTTGTTTTCAAATCTATAAAAGTCTCCTATTGACTTGATTGACATGAATTATTTAAATATTGAATTAAATCGTCAATTAATTGCTAATCTATGACATTGCCAGAAAAAATGTATAAAAAATCAGCCCCACAAACATGAAAATCTACATATTTTGGTTTAATATATTAAATTCAGTTAATGATTTAATATCTGTTGCCTCGCAGCAAGAAGGTCGCCGGTTCGTGTCCCGGTGAGGACATCCGGAATCTTTCTACGTGGAGTCTCCATGTTCTCCCCGTGCAGCGTGGGTTCTCTCCGGGTTCTCCAGCTCCCTCCCACACAGTCCAAAAACATGTTGAGGTTCATTGGTGATTCTAAATTGTACGTAGGTGTGAATGTGAGTGTGCTTGGTTGTCTGTCTCTAAGTGTAGCCCTGTGATAGACTGGTCACCTATCCAGGGTGTCCCCTACCTTCACCCTGAGTCAGCTGGGATAGACTCCAGCCCCCCACGACCCTGGTGAGGATTAAGTGGTGTATAGATAATGGACAATGATTTAATATATTAACTTGAATGTTTTGGTTTTTATTGTGCCGGTTAGACAAAAACACGAGGAACTGTCATGGGCACTCCCCACTATTAATCAAAACCAAAAAATATCTAAAAAAAGAAAAAATAAATAAAAATCAGCAGATTAATGGATGAGAAATAGCCACGAGCTGTCATAACCAACAAAGGGATTCCCATGGTCTTACTACACATCAACTCTTTGTTTGCCCGAATTATCAGCACAACTCAGCCGGTTTCGCTTCCAGCTGCGACACACTGAAGATGTTTCATTCCACTGGAGGGAAACAGATATTTCTGCTATTGTATTTCACATTTCTGCTGTTGTGCGCCGCTGAGGGGCCAAAGTGTGGGAGGACTGAGGTCACGCAGCCGTAGGATTGCTGGTGTGAGAACCCATCGCCGCAGCACACACAGCGCTAATCAATAGCTTCGGTCGCAGCCAAAGCACGGTCCCCCGAAGCTGTTTCTCCAAGAGAGGAATTGGATGAATGATTCATTTCCAGGGGCGCGCAAAGCAGACACAGACATGATCTGACAGCACTCTGACCGTTCTTTGGTTAAACTAATTGGCTGGTTGCTGGGCAGAAGAGATCAATAACTGAATGCAGAGCCAGTGATTAAAATGAATCAGGGATCTACGGTGCCAATATCGAGACCGGAAGTCAGAGGTCGTGCGTTGCCGGCCGCACGCTCGAGGATGGTCGCGCGGCATCAGCCGGATCATGGACGATGTTGCGTAAGGGATCACATTTACCCCGCATAACCTCAACGTGGGGTTATTAAAACACCTAAGAAACTTTCATCATATCTTACAAAAATATAGGAAGAATATAAACTTTCTTTTTTCTGATTTTAATCTGAAGAAACTGGACACCTGGACATAGTGTAGCTTCAAACACTCAAA